ATTAGCTTCGCTCAAAAGTCAAAAATGACTATGTATACATTTGTACTATTTGGATAAATCTATCATTTTTTCTTATATGTATTTTTTTCATTTCCATCAATTAAGTTTTAGCTATCACTGTTCTAACAATTGTTTGTTTATTTTTAATGTTTATAAATTAATTACTAACCACTTCTTAACTGTAAATCACTGCGCACATTACAAACCTAAAATAAGTTACACAGAGCACTACGCATCATCCAATATTACAAATTATATATATAATTATGTCACTACTACAATATTCAAAATTCGATTCACTTAATCATATTAACTTAATTTCAAACCTAGATAATATTGAGCCTGGTAAATCATTCATGAATGACTTAGATACATGCAAAACAGTTGTACAAACTCAACTTTACACACTAAACCTGAAAATATTGACACAAAATATTAGAAGTATAAATAGAAATTTCGCCCAGCTACAAGTCATGTTAGCTAGGTTGGATATATCGTGTGAAATTATTATTCTAACTGAAACATGGAACTCAAAAATTCTTAATGCACCTATCTTGTTAAGTTATGACTCTTACTGTACTACAAATAATCAAAATCAAAATGATGGAGTAATAGCATACATAAAACAAAGCTCTGGCTATATCGTTGAAGAAAAAATACTGACGGATGCCTCATGTTTACTTATTAGAGTAACCACTGATACCGTTGCACTTGGCATCTATAGATCTCCCTCTGAACGAAATATTGATAATTTTTTGAGATCTCTAGATGTCCTACTATCTGATTTGTCAAATTACAATAACATTGTATTAGTTGGAGATTTGAACATAGATATTACTCAAAACAACATAGATAAAAATTCAGATCAATATCTAAATTTATTAGCAACACATGGGCTCCTACCTGGTCATGTTTATCCAACTAGAGATAGAACTTGTTTAGATCATTCAATGATCAAAGCCAAGCATCCTTCACTCACTATCGTCATAGAAACAAGTCTTACCGATCATTACCCTGTTCTAACATGCATTAAATTGAAACATAATAGTATTATAACGAAAAACACAAATTCACAGAAAATTCATTATAAAGCTATTCTCGATGAACTTAAATTAATGAATTTTGACAACATAATATCAACAGATGTTAATAATTATACTGAAAACCTAATTAGACTATTTCAAAATGTAATACTCAAAAATACACTTAGTTATATAACACCTAAAAAAATGCGTTGTATAAAACCATGGATTACTCCAGGGCTTCTTCGATGTATAAAAAATCGAGACCGAATGCATTTAAAATGCAAACGGGATCCTAATAATGAAATATTGATTATTACATATAAACGTTATAAAAATTTCTGCAATGATTTACTGAAACGTTTGAAGCGTATTCATGACAGGAATGAGTTAACAAAGTACGCCAATAATCCTAGACTAAAATGGAAAATAATTGATAAAATTAGTGATCGATCTAAGCCTAAAACAACTCCAACACAGTTGTTAAAAATCGGGATCACCCCAGAAGAATCTTTAGAAAAAGTAAATAACTACTTTGTTTCTATTGCTAAAGATCTTGCAGAGGGCATTTCAAATACAACTACATCAAATACCGATTTTACACAGAATACACACGTTCAAACAGACTCAATGGCAATTTATTATACGACAGAACAAGAGGTTAAATCTATCCTATTCAATTTAAAAACAGATAGTGCAGTTGGATGTGATGGCATTTCTACAAGATTTCTTAAAATGGCAAGCAATACTGTAATCCCACATATCACACAAATCATAAATCTTTCAATCCAAACTGGCATTTTCCCTCAAGCATTTAAACAATCCATTATCCATCCCATATATAAGGGAGGGACCAGAGACTGTGTCAATAACTATAGACCTATTTCTGTATTACCGGCATTATCAAAAATCTTTGAGAAAATACTAAATAAAAGGCTTGTAGCATATTTAAATAAAAAATCGATTATATCGAAAAACCAATACGGCTTTAGAGCAGGTCTATCTTCCTCTCAAGTCGTCTCTGACCTTACTAACTACGTTGCAAACCTTCTAGATCAACAAGAAAGGTGTATAGGCGTATTTTTAGATTTGGCAAAAGCTTTTGACACAGTATCTGTCCCGATATTACTAAACAAAATGGAAAATATTGGCATTAGAGGAAAAATACTGGACTTATTTAAAAGTTATTTGTTGAACAGAACACAGAAAGTGACAATTGACGGGAAATTTAGTGGTGACGCTCCTGTCATATTCGGTGTTCCACAAGGGAGTGTACTTGGTCCCACGTTGTTTTTAATCTATATAAATGATCTTTGTGAATTAAAAATAACAAATGGTAGAATATTTACCTTTGCAGACGACACTTCAATAATATTTCATGGAAAAACTTGGGTTGAGGCCAAAACAAATACCGAACTTGGAATTCGGCATATTAGAAATTGGCTCAATCAAAACATGCTTACACTTAATATTTCTAAAACTAAATATATGCCATTTGCGATCACTCAGCGGACACTACCTATTGAACAAAATTTCGAAATTCAAATGCACTCTTGTCGGAATGGGAATTCTTGTCAATGTAATACACTAAATAGAACTAAAACTATACGTTATCTCGGTGTTTTGTTAGATGAAAATCTTACTTGGAATGCACATATAAAAGACGTAACTGAAAAAACAAGAAAGTTAATTTTTGTATTCAAAAAACTACGCTACGTGGCTGATACTATCACTCTAAAAACGGTTTACAGCGCTTTGGTTGAGTCAGTAATAACATACTGTATCACATCGTGGGGTGGAGCTTGTAAAACATATCTGTTAAAACTAGAAAGAGCTCAACGAGCGATATTAAAAGTCATGACATCTAAACCATTTAGTTACCCAACAACAGATTTATATTCTGAATGCGATGTCCTTTCTGTCAGGCAGCTATTCATAAGGAATACAATAATAGATCAACATCGGAAACTTGAATATGACCATAGTCTCACAATAAATAGATTGAAGCATAAAGTATGTAAAATAAACCGCTACAGAACATTTTTCATCCATAATTACAACTGTTATTTAGGTCCCACTCTTTATAATAAATTGAATAAAATTCTTAATATATACCCGCTTAACACTTACCAATGTAAAAATATCATAGTAAAGTGGTTAAAAAACCTAACTTATGATGACACAGAAAAATTATTTGCTATAGTTAAATAAATGATAAATGACTCATAAGCTTATAAATTAACTTACACACCCGTATCTATCACACAACACAGTACACACATAAAAAAATATATAATTATACATAATATTATACATATATAAAAAAACATATTTCAGACATATTTTCACATTTTAAACATTCAACACACACCACACAAATGACTTATCATGTTAATATGTTAAATGTTAATTAACCAATTTAATAATATGAATTACCCATGAATACCTAAATAATTAAAGCAGAAAAATTTATTACATAAAATCATATTGTTTAAAACTAGGTACTTAAATAAAAAAATATATAAACTACTATATTAAAAATTTGGCTTAAGTCATTATTTTTAGTGGTCTAACTTTAACTACTGCTATATTTAACTTTTATGGCGGTACTTGTAAAAAATATTAATAATGTAGAATATCAATGTTTAAAGTATAACAGACCTTGTAATGTCATTTAATTATTGTGTGGCTTTTTGTTAAAAATATGAGTGATAATGTTTAATGATAATTTAGTGACAATCCTTTTGTATCATAGAGGAAGGAACTGTCGTCTGTAATACAGGCTCGGCCTAGTACAGTCGGCAGTGACAAACCGATGTAAGTAGCATAATTTGTAATAAGCTTTATTTTGCGCTTAGTGTAAATTTAATGTCAAAACTTATTGCTAATAAACTTTTATTATTATTATTATTATTATTATTATTAAATTAAAAAGAATTAAATCATCATTGTAAAACAAGTTTTGACCAATTTCAAAAAGAAGGTGTGTCGCCAATTGTACACAAACTTTCATAGTCCTTCTTTTTCATATATACATATATAGATCAAGAAAGCAAGAAAAAAAGATATATCGATCGGTATCGGTAATGGTAAAACCTCCTTTTAAAGTGTTTTAGTTAAAAATTACTATAACATTATTTACTTATTTAATTCGCTTTTTTATAATGGAAACAATGGCTACAATTTATTCGTGTACATAACTTATTTGTAATCGCGGCAGAATTTTAATGAAATAAGCTTTATTTATTGTTCAAGCGTTCAGGTTTCCGCGCTTTTGAAGGTCGTGTTTGCAGGTCACTACCGCTTTTCTATACTAATATTATAAAGAGGTAAAGTTTGTGAATTGTGAGTTTGTGACGTTGTAGGGGGTAATCTCTGGATCTACTTAACCGATTTAGATGAAATTTGGTAAGAAGATAGTTTGAGACCCGGGGAAGGACATAGTATAACTACTAACGGACCTAAGCAGAAGTTGTCTTCCCACAGACTAAAGTCAAGTCCAAAAAATACAACAGCGTCACCTATCGAGTCCAACTATAACTAAGAACCATCCAGGTATATAAGTATATAAGTAAAAAAAGACTCATCAAATTTGGTTAAGCCGTTTAAGAAGAGAGGAATTACGAGATTTGGCAAACATTTGCCGTTTACGTCATGAAATAAACGAAATCAATTAAATAATACCGATAGTGTTACGTCTCTGACGTAATTAACTCACTGAAGCAAATAACACGGTCGTCTGCCAACAGAATATATATGTATGATATCAGATTCATTCCCAGATTGAATATTTTATTCGTCTATATAGTGTGTATGCATATATGTATATTATAAATGGTTGTAAATGTTAAATCTCATTGTGATATTTAAAACAGATAAAAGAGCTGTTTATACACAGCCATTTTCGCGCGAGTATGTCTACTATATTCTGTTTCTATTTGTAGATAACTGTTTGAATAGACAACGCTAAGTTCTTACCGTTCGCAAGAATGAAACATCATCTTGCTCACTCGCTCCTCCTTCCGCTTCCGCCATAATTTCTTTTTTTTCTCACTCGTATGTCAAATTAAATTAACTGGTTCTCATTCCTCTTGACGCACATAGCTGTAACAAAAAGAAAATATATAAATTAATATTTTATATTATATTTGGTCGATATTGTATGGCATGGCTAATTCTTATGTTTATTTATATTAGTTTTTCGCTTTTCCTTCGTTTAATAACTTGAATCAGATGTACATTAGTAGGTACTGACCCTACAACCCAACATTGTCCGTGCAAAATAATCTTATAATATTGAGCAATTTTTGTATAATATATTTTTTTATCTCGAAAACGGCTCTAAAGACTTGGATCAAAGTTTGTATTTAGATACGACGTCTTTTCTTAAAAAAAAACGCAATTTTTATATCTTTTCCGAAGAACGCCGAGTGAGCCTCAGTCGCCAACTTACAAATAATCTAGCAAAAAAAAACATCAGAATTAACAAGCTTCTGGCTAAATGTAATGTATGGGTCTTTTCGAAACGAATCAAATAAGTTCTGAGGGTTTTATATAGCCATAGAAGATATTCACTACCATCTTCTAAGTCCACCATTAAATTAGTTCAATGGTATCAAATGATGACATTGTCATTTGGATTACTTATACTTACAAAGTTTTAAATCGATACGAAACAGTTAAAAGGAGGTTAAAATCGATTTCTAAGATAATATTATGGCTATTCCAACAGCAAATTGCTTTCCAAAGTTTGGATAAAGTTCTCTATAGTGCCAGGATTTAAAGATTTCAGAATCTCTAAGAAAATCTATTACATACATAATTATAATCGTAAGTTGCGTATCCGCGATAAACGTCCGGCGGAGTATACAGGAAGTGGACTCGATTTTGTCTTACGCGAATACTGAAACCACGAATAAAGAGTTTTTACTGTATGTAACACAATTACACTATAGTTGACGAATAAAAGTTGACAAAGAAAAATATATACATTTTTCAGGTTAGTTTTAAATCCTTTTAATGGGCTTGTACCTAATTGTTACTGTTTCAACATTATTAATCGTCTAAATTTTCAGTATTACAAACAATTCATGGCTAATCGCTACAGGTTGATGCCGACTGACATCTCCCTGCAAAAGCGCGGGAAAACAAATGAATATTCGCGTGCTTAATTTTTTTTTATACATTCCTATCGGCCAAGGTCATATAACTAAATGCCATATCTTTATATATATAATTCTTCTGTGAGTGTGTGTCACTGAACTTCTCTCAAACGACTGGACCGATTTTGATGAAATTTTTTGTGTGTGTTCAAGGGGATCTGGGAATGGTTTAGATTCACAATTTGAATAATAATTTTCATCAAAAAAATTATTAAAAAAAGTTTGAAATTTTCAAATTAAAGACGTGTAGACAGGACGTCTGTCGGGTCCGCTAGTACAATATAAATAAATCATTACAAATTAATGAAATATACTATTTTCCACTAAAACGCTCACTGTAAATTGCAACCTTACAGTGCTAGTAGTGTAGAGTTAGTGTAAAATAGTGTTGTAAAAAAAATTGTTGCTTCATATATTATTATTCTATTTTTTTTAATATAATACGGTCGGTTTTAAATTTCTAACTAAAACGTTCTATTTTAAATAAAACTATCTTTTCGGATTATTTCGCGGATTTATTTGCATTTTTGTTTCCCGACGTTTCGAATGCTTTACAGCATCCATGGTCACGGGAGAGACTGAGGTGTTACATGTCTTAAAGATATAATTGTTACAGACAGCCTACCCACAATTAACAAAATGAAAATTGCACCAATTACATTACAATATTTTTTTACTTAAACATTTTCAATAAAACGTTCTAATAAAACTTTGGCCCTTATAAACACTTTGGTACAGAAAATATTAATCTGACCTTAAACTCAAAGTAATAACGTTGAATATAAACTAAATACTCAGAAGTTGTTAGAGAGAAATGAGTTTTCATAGCTTGAGAACTATTAACTTTCAACGGATATTGTTATAAGATGTAAATTTTATGCTATGCTTTAAATACAAAAGCAACTAGAAAGCCACCCTCGCATTTTATAGATATCTTTCGCATTTATAATATGAACTAAGAAGGGTTTTAAAAATATTATGCATATTTTTAATCCGTTGTGCTTTCTAACTATTCAGGCGTGTAAATAATTTAATTTATAATCTAAACAAGCAGAATCCGAGGCTTCGCTCGCGCTAAAACTACAAAAACTCTAAAAAGGTAGGTTTCATACAAACTCATTTATAACATATTCGCTTCGATATTATTTGAAGGGTTACCAAGTTCAGGAATAAAATATAGCAAATGTCCCATAATTACAACTTATTCTCTCATGTCTCTCTCTCTTATTCTATGTCCTTGCCAAATTCCATCAAAATCTGTTTAGCGTGGCATGAGAAGCTAACAAAGCAGACGGATAATATTTCAGGTCTCTTATATTAGTATGTATATTATGGACGACTTTCGCTAACCTTGATCTCAACTATATTAAACTTAAACTAACACGGCTAAGCAACGCACATCCCAAATCGCTGGGTTTAATGGTATTACATTTTCGCACACGAATTCCTTATTTAACGTAGGTGAGCATTAAGAGGGGATTCACAAAATTCATCTCCTTATAAGGTATTAAATACGGCTTGAAAATTTGTAAGGAGATTGATAACAGAAGCTCCTAAGAAAGTCGATTATAATATTTATTGGCGCGAGTAGTAATGTATGCTTTGCTCAGTTTAGTCAGTAAATAAGACGCATAACGATGTCACACTTGACCCTCCAATCAATCTCTGTACCAAATTTATCAAAATTCGTTCAGCACTGTGGGCGTGACAAGCGAATTGAAAGACTGACAGACAAATTTTCGCATTTATGTTATAGTATAGATGGTTTGATTGATGATTTGTATTGTTATTTAGCATAAACACTCCAATCAGTGATAAAATTTTATTTAGTAGATTATTGCCCGATTTCACCAACGTCACCTAAGTTTAAGGGATCTCCTAAGCATGGTTAGGGGGCTGTTAGGGGACAGTTTCTGTTTCTCCGACAGTTAGGAGTCACCTAAATATTAAAAGGCCCCCTAAATTTAGGTGCTCCAAATATGGGCTTAAAGACGATCGTACAACGAAATTTAATTTAGGGGCTAGCTTAGGGGACTTTTAAGCTAGGGATCCCATACGTAGGTGGTAGCTTATGGGTTGTTGGTGAAATCGGGCATATGTATGCTAAATATTATTTTTATTCAAGTTTCACTAATCTAAATGTTCGAGGAAAAGACGCGAACAATAATTCGTATAATGCATGGAAAAATTGTAGGGTTGCGTGCGATGTTGAGTCATTAAGCTGAATACAAGTGCCTACATTGTATGTACGTATATACATCTTGTAATTACGATGGTTTATGTTCTAAAATAATGATTTTTATTTGAAACTAGCGATTCGTCCCTACTTACATTTTAACGTTTAGTATCGATTTCTCAGAGATGAGATATTTTCCCGCAGTAAAAATTATCCTATATGTTGACCCGGATAACCAACTATCATCATACCAAATTTCATCAAAATCCCTCCAGTGGTTTTTCCGTGATGTGGTAACAGATAATAATGTCTATTTCAATAATATTTTCCAAAAAATATTTAATGTACAGATTCCGCTCAAAATTTTATTATATGTATACATAAAATATTAACCAACTTTAAAAAATGGAGTGATCAATTTAATCTTGTGTGTTCTTTACATGTTTCATTTTCCCCTGTTTCACACTATTCCTTGACCTATATACCTTTATCCTCGTATGCGATAATAGGGGTGGCATATTTTATTACAACGCACAAATTACATCCCAAAAACAACAACAACAAAACAATTGATTGCTTTTTTTTAATAATATTTCATTTTAAGCAAGTCTATACTAATATTATAAAGAGGTAAAGTTTGTGAGGTTGTTGGGGGTAATCTCTGGATCTACTGAACCGATTTAGATGAAAATTTAGTAAGATGATTTATTGAGATTCTGGGAAGGACATAAGATAGTTCGTATCCCGGAAAACATACCTTAAGGGGATGAAAATGGGGATGAAAGTTTGTACGGGGAAGCAATCTAGGGACGAACCCAAGCGCAGCGAGGGTAAGTCGCTAGTTTTATATAACAAGATATAATACAATCTATTAAGGATATTTTCCTACCTGCTAGAAATTCACAAGCCTTTGGGTAAAATATTTAGAATTTACTGTACAAAGAGCTACAACGTTTTAGGATGTTTAAAATAAAATTCTGAAAGAATTTGATTAAGCCTTTTTATACGTACATACATATTTGTTCATTTTGTTTTTTGCTTCAGTATAAAGAAGACAGTACGACTTACGAGGACTGGTTAAATATCTAGAAACTCTCAAGAAATTAAAATGGAAATCTGTAAAACTATATGTTTCGGTGACCCCATTTTCTTTCCAGCCATAAAAACACCCGATTACTTTCTTGTTTAAATCCTATATGTATACATAATAAAAGTATAATAAAAGTGTAACTGATCGCTGTCTGTACATGGAAGATATTTGAGAAAAACTATTATTGAGGGTCTTTATTAACGCAATAGAATCCAAAACAATGATTTTTAGAATTTTTGTCTGTTTATCTATACGTTTGTGTGCGCTAATCTCAGAAACGGCTTCACCGATTTGGGTACGATTATCACTATGTACCTATTATAAAGGCTTCACTTAACATTTAGTATTTGCTTTATTTCAATCAATTTAAAAAATCACGTAGAGAGAGTCTACATACTTGTAGTGTGTACAGTATAAGATAATGCAGTCTCTATAAATAGAAGCTACCTTTAACATCATAATGTAAAGCAAAGTTAGGCAAATTGTCGAGTATTTTTTTAAGGCGAATTATAAACTTATAGCATTAACCAGTAACTGCTACGTAATTTGTTTAAGTAATCTCCCAAATTTCCTAAATATTATTCTGGGATATAATGAAAATTATAAT